TTGTCTTTTTATTCCTCTATTTTCGTTTTGTAGCGTTTCAAATCTGTTTGCTAACGGTATATTATAGATTGTTTCCGAGTTGGCCTCGGCTTGCCTGTCCGCGCGCTGGGTGTTACATGTGGCGGCCAAACTTTGGGTTGTTTCGGTCGCGCAGGTACGCGCCGTGGTCGTGTGGCTTTGGGCGATGGTGTCGTTTCTTTTGTTCACTAGCGTAGACGCTCGCACGCTGTGTCGTTCCCCTGAGGTGAGGCGGGGGGCGGTCCGGGCGGCGAGCGGCTTGCATGTGCCGTTCGTCGGCTCTAACCTCGTTCGTTGCACGTGCACTGGCTCTTGCAAGCCAACGCCCTTACGATTTCTTTTTTCTTGCCTCTTTGGGTGGTTAGAGACGGGCTTGAATCCTCTGCCGTGGTTTTTATAAGTGCGCATTGATTTTTGCCGCACTTACAGATGAACCATTCCTCCGATGTAAATGCGTCTATCGGTAGGGTGATCAATTCTCTCTTTGTTTTACAGTCCACGCACGCACGAAAGTTGCTTACTCCGGTTTTTAGCGAGGCTGTGTATATTGTTATGGTAGTTTCGATTTTTAGTGTTTCTTTTTCGAATTTGGGCACTATAGTAGTGGCTGCCTTTATGAGAAAGCTTTCCATGCATACATTACATTGGATTTTCCTCGTGTTCATTTGATTGGTACCCCACAGGGGGGCGTCCGTTTGGAAGTATTGTTCGCATTCCTAGCACTGTATTATATTTTTATTGAACTCATTGAGGTCCATTTTCACTTTTTTCACTTTGTCTTTCACTTGTTTACTGTCCTTGTCTAGACTAAGTAGATCCGTGTCCATATCATTAGATTTGTGTGAACTTTCACTGTTGTTTTTCGAGAGCATGTTTCCTATTACTCTTGATTCACTTATTCTGTTGGGTGTTGCCTGTCTCACTTCTTCTGGTGAATCCCAGGGGGTGCTCCCCCCGGGGTCCTCACAGTTCATGATTTTTCACTTTCTATTCACTTTAAGTCTCGTTCCAATGTGGATTGTTTTAAGAACCGCACAAAATTTCAAGATACCACACGCGGATCGGCTCTCGGGAGCTTTCCGCTGCGCGCGTCTGTTCGCTACGGCGGTCCGCGCGAGTCTTCTCCCCTTAATCAAACCAAATATCCCCCGCGTTATTCCAATTATACCTGTCATATCCCAATTTCCCCCTCTTGCGTTCCTATTATCTCCAAAATAACTTAAAACTGATTATTCGACTAAAACTAAGACTTTCAATGAAATCACGCAATTATTTACTTACCTTCACGTTTTTTCTAACTGCAATGTCAAGATAAACATCGATTTCACCACTCTTACTCAATATAACTCACAAAAAACTTAAAGTTGAAAGTAACAATATTCACATGTCCACAATGACCTCCTTTTCAACACTTTTTCTTTAGTGAATCCTGATTGGCTGGCTTAAATGCTCAATGTAGCCAGTAGCAAAAAATATAAGCTCGTTCAAAAACTAAAAAGTGTTGATTTCTCTTAAATAGAATGTTACTGACAGAACGGTTTAGAAAAGCAGATTTTTATTCCTATTTACCCCGAAATTCCTATTTTCCCCGTTTAACGGAACTCAAAAACTACTAGTCAGATCTAGATAAAATTTATATGAGACCACACGAAAAGAACCAGCTTTCAAAAGAACCATCAAAATCGGTTGACCTCGAAAAAAGTTCCAAGGTATAACACACATAACACACACACCTTTTTGAAGTTGGTTAAAAAAGATGGTGTTCTATCCCCACTTCCCTTCTCTATTTTCATCAATGCTCTCACTACTATTCTTTCCTCTTATAAACATATCTACGCTAATGACTTGCAATTGTACCGTCACTTTAAAGTCAAATATATTGAGGTGGCTATTGATAAGCTGAATGTTGCCTTAAGTAGCATAAACAGTTGGGCGAAATCCTGTGGTCTTCTTGTTAACCCTCCTAAATCCAAGCTGTGATTATCGGTAGCTCACATATGCTTACCTTATTAGACCGTTCGAAAATCCCTGCTGTAACTTACGGTAATACTCAAATTCCATATACAGAGACTGCTAAGAACTTATGTGTTATCTATGAATAATAATTTGTCTTGGGTTTGTCACATTAATATGACTAGAAGGAAGGTGAACTATTTTTTTCAGTCTCTCAAGCACCTCCAGATGTTTTACGGTTAATAACTAAGATAACCTTAGCTCAAGCACTTCTTTTTCCTCCTATTGACTACGCTGATGTCAGTTTTCTGGATGCTTTATAGTAGCTATACTCAACCTGCGGCCCGCGGACTGCATGCGGCCCGCCAGGCCTTTGTGATTAGCCCATCTGAATTTGATTGTACACCATTTTAAATTTCGCGCCCGTCAGAGAACGGGTGATTCGGAACGGGAATGTGAGCTGAGCGCTATCAGCGATTTTGGCGTGAATCAGATCACAGCCTATTATTAGTCATCTGTGGTTGCAAGAGCGAGACGGCACGCGCGGCGGGATCCACGAACCTGTGAGCACGGTAATATTATCTATACAGTATTGTAACTCGGCCGTATCTTTGAAATAAATGCCTACAGCCGTGCGGTACGTAAACATGCGATAGGGCTGCCTCCAGCATTTTTACATTTGGCTACTTTGTGTTTCTATTTAGTTGTAAATATACTTTTTTTTATATAAACAAATGTAATAGGTACTTTGTGAATTGTATAGGAAGTGTTCAATAAAAATGCGTGTCGTTTTTTGATGGGTAGATTTAATTAAAAAACCATGTTTATGTTTGAATAACAAATCGTCTTATAAATTATTTATTTCCTCCATTTTTTTTATATATATTCCACAAAATCATCACGCGGCACAGTCACGACTGTCTGCATGCCGAGCGAATGCCGAGATCGAGGCGCGTAGGCATAGCTCTCGCTTCGTCCGTTTGTATGAAGTTAGAATACTGTATAGATAAAATTACCGTGCTGTGAGTGTCGCTTTGTTTGCCGGTCGTAACTTGTTTTGAATTTGTTTACATATCTAGTTGTACAGTCTAGAAGTAGACGCAACATCATAACAACCCGTTGGTCTCAAATTGCTCTGACTGAAGCTTTTGGTATTAGATTACTCATAAACACGATACTTTAAAGTACCCTTAATTTTACAATAACGTGTTGTTCACGAATTGTGCCTATTAAGTTTTTAATATTAGATTACTGAAAACATGTTATGAAGTATAATGTTACAGAAGACACTGATTCCACTGTATAATTGTTACTGCTGGTCAAACAAAAGCGTCAATCTTTCAGTCAACGGACATTGTTTTGAGCATGATATATAAGCCGTTGTATTTAGAATAAAAAGCACTATAGAACTGATCGTAGTCACGTAATCACTTAGTTAAGTAAGTCAATATTGCACTGAATTAGTTTTAATACAAATTTGTAATGTAATTGTTATAAAATTTCATCGAGACATATTTTGCAGTTTTTTTTTAAACTTCCGTACCGCTCCCGAAACTAAGCTACCTACGCTACGCTACGGTGGTAACAGATAGATAAATAATCATATCAAAACTAATCTCACCCAGTAATTGCCGTTAATAGTGTTCTTTGGAATAAAATTATTATTTTATTTTCAAAATAACGTCAGAAGTGTCTCCTAAGTTTAAAAGAAAAATATCTAGTGAAAATAGATTGTTACAAGATGAGTGGGAAACGGATTATTTTGTTGTGCCAAACAAAAACATTGCTGCTACTTGTTTGATAAAATATTGTATTGAAGAAATACAATATTTCGCGTCATTTTACCACATAACATAAATCTTTCGATTTGTCGTGTCGATGTTTCCTCCTGGATCTTTCTTGAGAAAAGAGAAATTGAGTTTTTTAAGAGATCATTGCATTTACATCAACAACAAAATGTTATGTGTGTGGCGTTATCACAAGACTCCGCGGTAACTACGGCCTCATGTGAAATTTGTTACGTTCTTGGTATGTATATGAATGTTCTTGGTATGTATTTACCGATGCAGATTTTTTTAATTTTACCACTTGTTTTAATATAAATAATAATACTTATTATAAGCTAGTGCTTGACCAAAATCCCACCTGGTGGTAAGTGGTAAATCGCACTGTCTTAGCGTAACAATAGTCACTCACTCTTGCTTTGAAAACGCCCAGATTGTATTCAGACGGAAAAATAGAAGCCGGCAAATTATTCCACTCCTTTGCTGTGTATATAATGCTTATATATAATGCGTGGGATATCAACATAACAGGGTGAAGACCCGCCGATCATCTGATTATCCGATGGTGGAAAGGAGAGGGAGAAATTAAGGCGTGAAATTCCTGCGCACACTCACCGAAATGCATCCTACAGAATACTGAGAGGCTGCCTATACTGCGCCTGTGCTCGATGCTGACAAGATTGATTTCAACCAAATAAAGGTTACCAATGAGCCTTTTAGCTCGTCTCTCCACTGAGTCCAACGCTGCCAAAAAGAGAACATCATGTTCTCTTTCTCCTTTTACTTCACCAGCCCGTAAAAGCACGATGAAGTAAAAGAAGAAGATGTTCTCTTTCTTCTTTTACTTCATCGTGCTTTTACGGGCTGTTGAATTAAAAGAAGAAAGAGAAAATGATGCTTTCAAAGTAACATGTATTAATGGTTGTCGGGGCTACGGCCCACAAGGCTATCATCTGTTTCCATCCGATCAAGTAATTTATACAATGTTATATATATTTCTGCTATTCTGATTGGGAGTAACGAGGGCTAAATAGCCTGCAGAACCTGCCGCAAAGTACAGCAAATTTTTGCCCACTTCATCGATGGACTTATGATCTTCATTCATATCTACGTCACGGGGCAAGTTTCTCGATATGATCAAATAATTTGAATAAATGAAAAACATTATTTTATCTTAATAGTGTATTTTTTATGTCTTACTTATTTTAGTTGTCTACAATTGCCTATACAAAATAAGAGTACTAATTAGCTTAAACTAGGAGCAACGGTTGTAGTAGACGGGCAGGGAGACGATCGAAGCAGATTCACAGCTGAAAAAAATAGTTTTAGATTTCAACTTTAATTTTAGGAATTTTTACATCGAACATTTATTCATAATATACTATTTAATCTGGTATACTACAGTTAAAGATATTTTTACAAGTCGATATTAACAATAGATGCAAATGTGTTACCAAGACATATCCTCATCATCTATATGTTAGAGCGCTTTTCAACAATTGTATAAGATTCGAGCTTTTTAAAATTACGTGGTAGAGCTCCGGTAAATACTTAAGCGTCATTCGTGTTGTACAAGCCTCTTGGTAAGATTTTTCAGACGTTTTTATTTGTTGATGATTAACAGCGTCTCGGGAAATATTCCTACCACAATTCTCGACAGTAATTTAACTTGAAATGCACATCTCACATACATTAAAAATAAACTTTCCTCTCTTGTTGGCTGCCTTCACAAAATAGTTCGATGTATTCCGAAAAAGCCCGAATCCTAATATATAACTCTTTAGTAAAACCTCACTCACTTTACCTTGTAGAGGTATGGGGTAATGAACCCTCCCTTCCCGAACTGGTTCCCGCCTTGTCGTGGCAGGGGGGCTTATTAACCATGGCTACGAGAAGGCCAAGAGGAACCCACATGGCTGGCCCGAGGTGTAGGGCCGGCCCGAGGAGGCCACTCCGAGTAGGCTTGGTGAGCCCACTTCGGATGTGTGTCGGGGGGCTTTAGCGAGAGGGGTGTCTTCTCTCCCTACCGCTGCATTCGAGGTGGAGTCGCGGAAGAAGAGGAGTGCTGGTATGGCGATGCGCCACTCGCACTATCCTCCACGATTTTGACGGGGCCGCACCGTTTATTTATGCGGTGGTTTTGGGGCTGCGGGGGGAGAGGAGTGCCGGTATTGCGAGGCGCCGCTCTCCCTACCCTACGCAGCTGAATCTTAGTTGGCGGCGGAGCCATAGACCAGATCCACCGCTGGGGTCAGGAGGGCTAGTGCTTCTGAGTGCACGTTTTTCCTATCCCCATGGCCTTCGTGCATCGGACACGGGGGGGTCTGTTGCGCATGTGAAAATTAAAGACGTGGAGGAGGGCGCGTCATGTAATCTGGTGCGCTTTATCTGAGAAGGAGAAGGGGGAGGAGTAGTTCTCTTTCGAGGAGGGGTCGAAATGGGGCGGCCATCGTTGGAAGGGCCGCGGATGTGTGGCCCTGCCAATATGCGATGAAGGCGGAACACCATGGAGTTGTAGTCGGTGCAAATCCGACATAACCCGTCCTTGTATCCGCGAGGCGGGTATACGTAGGCATTTAAACCTCTATTGCCGCCTATAAGAACAAACTATGGTAAAAAATAATATACCGTGTAAAAAGAGAGCACAGTTATAAATGTGTTGTATAAACCATATAAACAAACTACTTAAATTTGTAAAGGAGGCGAAATATTTGAATGCTTTCAAACAGAGGTTATTTGCCTACCTATACTCACAACAGCTAAGTACCTAACCTATATCATTATTGAATAAAAGTGAAAAACATTATTGAACTTGGACCACCACCTTATAATTTGAGAAAATAACAAAGATATTCGCTTCTTAAAAGCGAAATCCAACAAAGTTTTATTTATACCCGCACTACAAATTGTTATTACTACGTTTATATAATTATTGTTCTCATGTAAGTGACGATTATTGAGAAATAAACATCTTTAAACCAAAGTGTTCGCTTGAATCGCCAATTCAATACTGACCCGGTCCCGGTCCGTACCGGCCTTATATAGGGCCTCTTCTAATGAAACATCTAGAATGTTCGAGTACATACCGGTCTCGACTGACTAGGTGTAGAAAGTTCTAGTATCGAATTTTGTAGTAAGATCTTGACGCTCCTAGTTCTTCTACTCGATACTACATGGCGCTAGTGGTACCAGGCATTAATTATGGCGCGCAACAATATCAATACTTACTGACACCACAGCCTTGAGCACACATGAGACGTCCAGGATTGGGGTAAGTGACGCCATTAGACCCGCACACTGGGTTATATTCCGCCGTCACGGGGCAATTTCTAATGCATTCCTGTACGGTGGGGTTGTTCTCAGCTGATGTTGTAGATCTGGAATGCAATTCAGACTTTCAATCATTAAATAATTCACTCATTGCAGCCTATCTAAGTCCACTACTCAACATAGGCCTTATCATAACTTGCCTCTTAAGAGATATATGTACCAAAATGCCACGCTCGACAAACGGGTTAACAACCGCAGTTTATAATTTAAAATACTCTGCCGTGAGCAGCTGCTTTTGGTTTATTTCCCTTATACTGCCACTACACGGTCATTGGAATTTGAATAGGTATTATAAAGTAATTAAGAAAAAAAATTTGTTGAAGTAGAAGTTAGCTATTTTTATAGCTGTTGCTTTAATGTAATCTTTTTATGAAACTGAAGTGACAAACGAACTTATGGTACTAGTCTACCTGATGGTTAGTGGCTACTGCAGTTTATGAAAGTCTGCAGCTAACTGTTGTTACCTCTGTGGAATAAAATGGAACGCCTTAGCCTGTAAGTACACTGGCTCTGTAAACCCTTTAGGCAAGAACACAGCAGTGCAAGCAAAGCTGTTTGGAGACAGAGATACATTTATTTAAGTTATTTAATTAATTTATTGTAGTGTTCCAAATTTGAAGAAACATGTTAGTAGTTATTGAGATAATACTATATATATTTTTGGTGCAGGTCCTCAATAAGCAAATAAATAATTATTCTAGGCCAAGCAGTCAGAACTTGTGTAATGGGTACTAAGTTTATTTTACGCTTTTCTAAAAATTAAAAAAGAATGACTATCTACTTGCCCATCAATTGGATTTTGTGTCGTCTGTTGTCCTTGACCGGGAAGTCGCCCTTCACCGAAAATTTGCCCTTGTCCATTATTAAACTGGCCTTGACCATTAAACCGTCCTTGACCAGGAAATTGTCCTTGGCCGGGAAATCCTTGATTGGGGAACTGTCCTTGACCTGAAAATTGTCCTTGCCCAGGAAACTGAACTTGACCAGGGAATTGTCCTTGACCGGGAAATTGACCTTGACCGAAGAAAATAGTTTGGTCAGGATACTGTCTAGGATAAAGCCATTGCCCTTGAAACCTTGGGTTGGGATACTGCATTGTCCATTGAGGCTGTCTCCTTCCAAACGCTGGTTGCCAGTTCCAACCATATCTATTGTCTAAATCATCATCAGCATCTTCCGTCTGCCTTTTGCTCCTTAAGTCCATACTGAAGACTTTATCCACTATAACAACTGAAAAAGAAAAATAATAATTCTTGACAAAAATAATGTACCTACATAATAAAACAGCTTTAATACAACATTGATAAGTTGCTTTATAGCATATATATGATATTATTATCACAAGCAGTAGGAGTATATCGCTAATCGTTTTAGTGTTTGGAATTATATTGTAGTAAATATTGTATATAGCTGGCCGTATGAGGAAACTTAAGATAAGTTTCTCTGCGTGATAAGATTGATTAAACGATATGAACCAATAGAATAGTAAGCTGAAGTGACAACGGGCCGACTAAATAGCTCAGAGAACCTACTTCATAGCCATAAGCGAAGTGTAAGGCTGCCCCTACTAGATTGATGCAGATGGCTGAGGACGGCATTTTTGTAGCATTCCTTGGAGGAGTCTATGTTCAGCAGTGGACTTGTTAATATATCTTTAAACTTATGTAGTCTATCGGAATAAAAATCTGCGCCGTTCCCCTATGCGAGTCGTCCAAATTATATTTCTTCATCCAAAAAACGTTAAAGAAAATTTTGTTAGAGAAATAAAATATTCTGGTATTTCAACAGTGTTCGTAATAAACCCCTAATGCAGAGCAGGCATTAAGCATTGCATTTTAAGCTATGAGCTTAGTGATGTTATATTAGATTACAAAATGATAAACATTGTCTATGTAAAATTGTCCCTTACAACTTAAAAAATAAATAACACTAAATCGATCATAAAGCTAGATATACGCATCATATTATTCGTAAATGCGATACTTAATAAATACGTAAATAAAAAAACGGACAGGTGGGAATCGGGCCTAATCGAATCTATCAGGGTTCCATACATATCCTTTTCAATAAATGTTTGTTTTAACAATTTTCATTTAGTTTGTCACGACGTACAAATTACTCATTGAATCAATATGTATGGGTGCGGTTGGCATAAAAAATCCCTAGCAAGCGCTTGTAAGCAAAATGGCGAAACTAAACAGTTTTCGTTCATGACAACTACTTACTACTTTTACGTGGTAGAGTCATGTTGTAGCTATATTAGTAGTGTAGTTGTAGCACGAATGGGTCTGCTCGACCGGGGAAGGACCACGCTCTCACAGAATACCAGCGTGAAATAGTAGCTTAATGCTGCTGTATTTCGTATGGTGAGTGTAGAGAACCGGAGACCCTTTTTACTGGAAACGAGGCATTCCATCTCAGTCCTCACGGGTGACAACGCATCTGTATTTTGATGTGTAATTGAGGATAGATGTAGATGTCTATGGGCTGCAGCAACCACTTACCATCAGGTGGACTGTGTGCTCGTTTGTCACCCTATTCTATAAAAAAACACGTTTTCTAACTTCAGTAGCGCTGACACAATCCGCCATTTTGCTTATTTGATTTGTTTGTTTTGAAGTAGAGTTTATAAGTTGTTTTGTGCAATATTAGTTTTAAGTAATATAATGACATGAATAGACATATATACATGTTTTTAAAAATTCATTATTGGTAAATTTTTAATATGAATACTTTACAAACATATATTTAAATTAGGTTAGGTTCCCCGGTTAAAACTAACTTCGTGTCCTAGAGGAAAATAGCTACTTACGATTTGACAGCACTTACCGCTTACGATCGTCATTTTGCTTACATGCGCTTGCTAGCGCTTTTTTCTGCCAAACGCACCCAATGTTTTCAGTTTAACAGTATAAAATGTTACATTATAAATACAGAAATTTCAAATCTTAAAGAGTCTAGGTTTTAAGACAAACCCCATTTGAAAAACGATATAAAAATGGCAACTTTGTCGGTCCTATTTCTTTATTTTTGAATATAAAAAAAATCCTACTTCGTTATTTTTAAAAATGCCAATAAAATAAAATCCTATTTCGTTATTTTTAAAATGCCAGTAAAAAAATTGAACCATATCTTTTTTTATAGGATGAGGATGACAAACGAGCACAACTCGACTACGAATTAAAATGCGGATGCGTTGTCACTCGTGAGGACTAAGATAGAACGCCTCGTTTCCAGTTAAAGGTGTCATCGGTTCTCTACACTCACCATACGAAACACAGCAGCATCGATCTGTGGTGGATTTCCGTTAAAGTTATTGCGTCTATAATAGACGCAATCGCACCTCAACTATTTATTATTTTTAATACTAGTATCGAATCTGGTGTGTTTTCTGATTTAATAAAGCATAGTAAAGTAATACCTTTATTTAAATCTTGTATATACATTGGACCCTGCTAATTTTAGAACTATTTCTGCATTGTAAACTTAGTAAAATTTTTGAAAAAAAATTCTTGACATATGTTTAATTTTTTTAATGTAAATAATCTACAACATAAAAATCAATTCGATTTCACAAGGGGTCGCTCGACAACTGATGCTGGTGTTGAACTGATTATATATATCTTCAATGCATGGGAGAATTCACAAGATGCTTTGGGTATATTCTGTGATCCATCCAAAGCCTTCGATTGTGTTCACCATAAAACATTAATCAGGAAACTTCAACACTACGGTGTAAGAAGTGATGTTTTTAAATTATTTATTTCATGTTTAAGTAACAAAACGCAAAAAGTTGTCATTAATAGTAGAGTTCTACCATGTTCGATAGTACAAATGGTCGTGCCTCAGTGCTCAATTCTCGGCCACTTTCTGTTTCTTGTATACATTAATTACTTACCTTACATAGTAATCATGATATAGTATTATTTTGCACTTCATTAATTTTCAAATTAAAAGAACAGTTACTAAATTATGACGTAGAAAATAATGCTACATCTAAGTTAGTAAATTGATTTAATGTTATTAATTTGCATTTAAATGATACTAAAACTAAATGTATTAAATTCGTAACTACGAATGTTAAACGTGTTGATAGTAATGTAATTTTAAATCACACTAGACGCAAAGCTTTAATGGGGCCGTACATATCATATGTATCAAAACTAGCTACCAGACTTAGTTCTGCAGTACATGCTGTAAAAAATTTAGACTAGAACTCTTACCAGTGAAACGTTAAGTAAGTTTAAGTTAATAGTTAAACAACTAGACAAGTTTACTTTAGCTATTTCCATAGTATAATGACATACGATATTTTTCTATGGGGATACGCTACTGACATTGAAATTATATTTGTTTTACAGAAGAGGGCCGTTAGAGTAATATATGATTTAAAACCTAAAGAGTCGCTCAGACAAAAACAAATATATTTACTTTGGCTTCTCAATACATTTATGAAAATGTAATGTACGCACACAACAATAAAAGTAGTTTTATAAAACTAACCGATATTTATTCTGTTAAATATACTAGAAACAGGCACAAGCTAGTAGTACAAATTACTCGACTCCATTGAGTCAATAATTCATTCTTCAAAACTTCACTTCAACGAAATCCTATAAAATATAGAAAATTTGCAACAGAAAGTTTAAAAAGTTATTATAAAAGGGTTATTATAATATTAAGAAATTTATGGATGATAATAACCTCTGCGAAGGCTGATCGCTACTTTTTATAAGGGGGGGGTTGGCAAGCTATTTTTAATTTCTTGCTATTCTTCACAGTTTTTTTTGTCGCAGGACTAGCGCTTTTTTTTAAAATTTCTGGTTTTTTTTTTTTTTTTTGGGGGTTTTTTTTTTTTATTTTATCAGATGCGTCTTCGTATAGACTGCCGACATGACCGACATTCGGTCGGAGGCACATTACTTGATTGGTTTAGTGCCAAAAAATACAATCACAATGTTTGGACCCGATAGATGGCGCGGCACAGTGGTCAAATTGGCCGGAACGACGCGATGTCTACCGATGGCTAATATTATACTAATTTAAAATCTACCACATATTTGTTAGGAAATTAAAGTTTATCTAATGAACATAAATAAATTTATCAGTCCATACTTTGGTACGGACCTTCTTGAAAATGCACCAGCTGGTAAGATTTCTTGTAGATTTGCTTATATTCAATACCCTGTGAAACTTGGGTTCACCGGATGACTTTTCCTCGTCAATCGGTCACCACAGTCGCCAGAAGCTCGCTCATCGGTCAACAGTGCACTTAAAAAATTACCAATTTTAGATTGGACCCTACATTGTTTTATAATCATAGACGTTTTTCTTTTAGCTCCTGGTTGATTTCATTCATAGGGTCAACGGCGCACACTCACTCAAGAATATATAAATAAGCAAGAGGTATGTCTACGATATAATACAAGGTGCCCCAGCGCGAAGTGATCGCCCGGTGTCTTGATTATTTGGACACTACTATCAACGAATACCATTAAAGTATAGGTCTTATCGGTTTGGTTTTCTTATAAGGTTTTTTTTCGCATAGAAACCTCACTATTATCAAGATATGTTTTTTTTCATTCTGTTCTCTCTTTACCAGTAGTTATTAATTATTTCGTTATTAATTAATTACCTAAAACGTTATTAATTACTGTTTTTTTTTAATTAATGACGTAACTTGACATGATTTAAAAATATAAATAAAAACATAATTAATAAATAAATAAAGTTATTGCATCAGTAGCTTCTACGACCGTTTCGCGGCGGGTTTCACGAACGATTGTGAGCAACCCGTGAATCAGTAATGTCATATCTACCAACTTTTTGGTAGATCTACCAATTTTCACTTCAGTCTACCTATCTACCACCCTAGACCTAAAAACTACCTATTTTATTAATTAGTTTGACATATCACCACTTTGAATTATTTTTATATCGACGAGCGACGTGCCGATGTGTTGCGTGAGCCATGCGACGATACGTCAAGCGGTCCAGCATACATAGAGTCCAGGCCATAAACGAAGCCCAAAACGTCTGGGTGACTATAAGGAATTCCAGTCCTTTCTGCATATAAAACCCCACAAACTTCTACACACAGCTCAAACAAGATGGCTGTCTCTACTTCCTGTGGTCAAACGGCTTTTAGAACAGCTTCCAGCTTTAAAGTTAAACTTCCAAAATGCTGTTTTGAATGACAGGCTGTGAAGTCCATGGATCCTTCAACAGAGCTATACTTAAATTTTTGAATTATGTGTTGCTCTATTTCCATGACATTAATAAAGAAATGCAATGAGAAAGTCCTAAACTTTATTTGTTATATGAGCGGATTTTTACAACATACAAAACTATGTTTTGTATGTTTCTATGTTTTATTAAACCAGAATTATTGCAGCTCACTGAAGATGAAAAAAAAAAACAGTAGCAAGTATCTTAACTTGGATTTAGAGAACAAAATTTTGAATTTAGAATATGAAAATAAACAAAACCATGTACCAATTGAAGAAATATACCTTGGTGGCAATGTTATTTCCTTGTTATTGAAACAATACTTTGTGGCTAGAATGAATGAAATGCAAATAGTACAGTTTAAAGAAAAATACATTCTCTTTTATATGGAGAGTGTAAAACAAAAAAGCAGCGTTTTTGTTTTGATGAAAAGCAAAGATTAAAATGTCTTCAATTTATGAATCCTAAACATATCATTGAAAAACATGCAGTCACAACTATTGCTCATTTAGATGTTCAGTTTCCAGGCAAGTTAAACCTAATTAATTATTAATGTTGTCCACTCTAGAATATTTTTTTTATTTACATTACATTTTTATTTTTAGGACTATGCTCAGAAAACATGAACGAATTGGACCGAGAGTGGAGATTATTAAGAAACACGACATTTCATTTCACAGAAAAAATGTGGATCCTACACCTGAAGAAATCTGGAAGCATGTTTCATCCATTAAAAAGGAGACCAGTCTCCAATGTTTCCCCTGCTATGCGAATTCGTGAGAAAACTACTCGCACTGTAGCGCCAACGTTGAGAGATTGATTAATAATATGAAAACCTTCCAAAAACGTTTTTGCACGGAGACTCTAGAGGGATTGTAGCGTTTTAAAAGATTCATAACAAAAAACGGGCAGCGTAGCGCAGAACATTTAAAAATTTTCAATAAAAATATGTATGGTTTTCAAAAATAAACATTTTAGAGCAGTTCATAGATTTTTAATCTTAAAAAATCTTCTAAATTGAGGTGGTAGATCTACCAATTTTGCATTTTACATTCTACCACCATCTGGCACATAATCTACTAATTTTCTAAAATTCGGGTTAGCAACATTGCCGTGAATGTGGAGGGCACGACTTGTGCCGTGAATTCATGGCGTGAATTCACGGCGATAATGTGGAACCGCCATTAAAGGTCTACTCTTTTTATTATTGAAGATGGTATGCATATTTCCATGGTTTGTAGTTCGATAAATGTTTGAAACTGCTTCAAACATTATTATGAGATTTTATGGCAATATCATGTAATTTAATAATAATTTTCACTTGGCATTTGTTCAACTTTTTAGGAAAATTGAATAAAAATGAGTAATTTTCTTAAGACTTTGAGTTAATTATTTTTAAGTACTTATCTTGTTTAATTTTGGATACATTTTATATCTTGAATCGAAAACTTATGATAACAAATGGTGAAGAAAAAAAACAGAATAAAAAAGATGTAAATACGAAAAACTTATCTTGAAAATAGTGCAGCAAGTCAGGTTTCTACAAAAAAAATAAAAAACCTAATTCAAAAAACCGATAAGACCTTAATTATATTTTTTGATAGCTTTGTCCAAATAATTAACAGAGGCTGGGCGATCACTTCGCGCTGGGGAACTTTGTAGATAAGGACAGAGTTATGGCTACGATATAATATAATTTACAGGTTATTCAATGAGCTTTATTTATTTAAAATGTAATACAAAAAAAAATTCGTAGGGTACTTATAAATGTTTGACTGTTATTTGTCATTATGGGTTTCATTCTTTAACAAGTACATAATTATTCTTATCAGTTTTGGTTTATTAAAATAATTCCTCAAATCTAACGGCATTACATACCTACTTAAAATCGTTGATTATAGCTAACTTAAATTAAGTATTAATTATCTCTATACATGTTTCTTTTTATCGACATTTAGTAACGAGATGGAGAGAGAGAGCACCATTAAGATTTTTTAAGTGACGTTATTTTTTTATTAATAAGACCGTTAATAAATAAATATTTCAATTATTAAGACGCATTGAAAAGTTAACTTACTTACAAACGTATGATTAAAAATACTTACCACAGAGCAAAAGCACACTAAATCTTTCCATTTTGTCCAATATATACTTAAACACAACGTAAACTGCTAATGGACCGCTCTGTTGGGCTTATCTCAGCATCACTGACCGGCGATGACCGCTAGCAATGTTTATAACTCCACGCTAGTCGATCGCATCGCGTTTGTCGCGTACATCCCGCTTTTGAAATAATGATGTGAAACACTATTGTAGACAGTTTTTAAATTTATTCATAAAAATATAAATTATAAGACTTAGCATGATTTATCTTAACTGTAATATCTAAAATCATTTACCTTGTTAACTACTTTGAATGTGATAAAATTAATTATTTAAGAATCACATGCAAACGAATATGATTTGTCTTAGGAGTGCCTAGTTTAAAGAGCACCTCTCTTCCTTCCCCAGTTGTATGCCACTATTGTCACACCTATGTACTGAAGTGAGCGTGTGTGGTATTGGGGGTACTATTCCCATAACTAGTACCCCCAATACCACTTCACTAGAAAAGACACACTCCTGTCGATAATGCGACACGTGTTTCGACACAGGAAGCCATCATCAGGAGAAAATAGACTGCATTGACTGGGCGCCATTTTGGAATGAAATTGAGGGAGAGAACGTCATCAACATTTTTACGTAGATCTGAGGAAATTAATTTTAACATATTTAATACAATCGATTTCTGCAAAGTAACGCCAAATTCCATTAATTAGTATTAACTACGTCAATTATCTTACTATTCAACGTCTACGTTTAATAAGATAAAGTTAAGTTTTCACGAATACATAATTGTACAAAAAAAAATCAGTCCTTCCTACCATGGATGGTGCCCATGCTCAACAGTGAACCGTTAAAAATAATAAAAATTAAGTAAAGTTACAGCTTATATACGTCCCAGTAATGAGATTAGGACCATTTCTAGGGAGGTTTTTAGAGCAAGTTAGTATCCGCCACAAGGAGCCAAGGTGGTAAATCAGTACAGACACATCCGTATGTGTCTAAGTCCGTATCGGTATTAAAAATAAAATGAGGAAATAACATAATTTCGCTTTATTTTTCAATTACCCAAATTTTTAAAAGTACAATTTAGAAAATACAACAAATTATCAATATCATATTATTCAAATTCCATACATATTTAATACCAGATTTTAACTTTTAATTTCACTGAGAAGCATATCGATTAATATGGTTCCACACTAATTAACCCATTTGTAGATATTCATGACCTGTGGGTAAATTGTTGCGCGTAAATTCCCATATTGTGTTTTCCCGTTCATACGAAAATAGAATCTGTATGCTATGTATTTTATCATAGTTTCATACAAAATATTATGTACAAAGTATAAACGATATAAATTGAAAATGCAACAGAATTTCGTCCATAACTTTATCTTATACAAAAAAAAAATCCAGAAATTTCATCATAGAAAAGTCTCTAAAAAAAGTAAATCACTTTTAAAAGAAATAGGTTAGGTTTAAAATAAAGTAGGTCAGTTTTTAAAAATCGATTAAAACGGTTCGAATCGAAAAATTCGGTAAAAAATAATGGAATTAATTAATCTAACGGCCAAATTTCAAAAAGTACTCAACTGTACTTCTACTTCTCTACTGACTCCATACTCTAGGTCCGGGTTTCCCAACCTTTTTTTTCTTGAGGCTCCCCGGATTATTAATAATATTTTCATGCTCCCCCCCCTTTACTTTTATAATAAATACAAAAAATGCACATTATGTACTTAAAAGCCTTTTATTTTAATTCTAATAAACAAACTTTAAAAAGTTTAAATTAAAATAATAAATGTTTTTATCCAAAAAAATTAATAAAATAAGAGTAGGTATTAATGAGACACTTGAGCTTGCATGTTCTGTACCAGTTGGTTGATTCTAGGTTCTGTTCTTGCCAGAGCTATCATCAGGTCGCTATCGACATCAAGACGATTTCGCTGTTTAGTTTTAATTAAAACTAGAGGCGGAAAGCCTTCTCACACAAGTAAGTTGAAGAAAAAGGAATTAGTACTCGTAAAGCAAGACAGGCAAGTTTAGAATTAACAGGCAATCTTTTGATCCAAAATTTTTCAAATGTCAAAAGATGGAAGTCATTTTTCATGGACGAATCAGCTTTCTTTTCTAGAAATTCTTCCTGAACTTCTTCTGGTAATTGTAACACATCGACAACAAATGGATTTCTTGTCATGTGCCATATTGGTGACTCTGAATCGATGTCTCGATAGTATCGGCGAAATTCGTCTTCCAGCGCTTGTAAATGAGGTTTTATGTCAGGTTTCAAATTTGCGTCTAGTTTGTTATTTTTGATTGCTTCGAACAGCCGAGAAAAAGATATAACATTCAACAAAGTTGAAGCTTTGCTATGAACCCCTGAATATAATCATAATTGCTTATTATAGTGCCGTTTCTGCCCTGAAGTTTCAAGTTTAGCTCATTCAAGGCGCCAAATATGTCAGTTAAATAAGCCAACATACATTGAAATGAGTCATCTTTGAACATTGTGAGCAAATCGTGTTTTTCTTTGAACTGAAGAAAAAGAATTACCTCTTCTTTCAATTCATAAAGGCGAGCCAACATGTTGCCTTTGGACAGCCAGCGTACTTCTGTATGGTACAGAAGATTTTTGTGATCAGAATCCAGATCCTCGCAAAGTAAAGTAAATAGCCGACTGTTCAAAGCGCTGCTCTTGATGTAGTTTACAATCCTTATAGCTGAGTCCAAAGTCTGGAGTAATTTCTGTGGCAATGTTTTGGAAACCAAAGCTTGCCTATGAATAAAACAATGTATACTAACCATTGTGGGATTTTTTTCTTGAGCTTTATAGCTAAGCCCGATCGTACACCTATCATTGCAGATGCGCCATCTGCGAAAAGTCCAATGAGCTTATTCTAATCCAAATAATTTTTTTTCAACAAAATTTGATATTAAATTAAATATATCTTCAGATGTAGTACCCGCTGTCAAAGATTGAGAGTACAAAATCTCAATTATATCTCCGCCGATGTAACAAACAAAAACTATTAACTGTGCACAATTAACGATGCCGGTGGATTCATCGCAACTAATGGCGAAAAATGGCAATAAATAATTTTACTTTGTTAATTATTTGTGACTTCATTTCTGCTGTAATGTCATCGATTCTACGCTTGACGTATTATTGGAAAGAGAAAAAGACTTCATTTTTTGCTCTGCATCTTCTCATAAAATTATCTGCGTGGCTTTTAGGACACATGGTTTTATTAATTCTTCACCGATAGTATGAGGTTTCTTTTGCTTTGCTATCATAGAAGCTATTTCAAAGGAAGTTTTGAGATGCTGCGATACACCTGTGTGATAACTTCCCGATTTATCCAATCTCATCCGCTTGAGTGATTCTTCTTTAGAAGAAAAAAACTCTTTCGTCTTCAAAACCAGAGTAGGATGTTGTTGCTTTAAATGCCTTTCAAGGCGCCTTGGGCCTCATGTTATCATTACTTAAAACTTTCATACATATCACACACTGAGGCAATTGTAACTCGTCTTTTTCCATGAAAGATCCAAATTAATGTAATCTTCGGAAAACTTTCTTTTTTTCGCTGCCATTTTGCACCCATAACAATAAAACAAATAATCAGTCACAGTGGCTGATCTATGAACGCGTCTCTGCTCTATCACCAATTTAGTAAATTAAATAAAAATGGTGACCGTAGTTTTTAAATACACAAACTTACCTTTTAACAGTGAGACACAATAATTTTGCACACTCAAACTGATTTTTGAACAAGAAATGTACACCGAAACGTCAAATTTGTCGCAAGTGCGGGAATGAATTTCACAGATGCTTATGCGCGTGGATTGATGTTAAGCGGAGCGGAAATCAAACAGTGGAATAATCGCCAGATTACGTTTGTATGGAAGCTACTAGTGTAGATCCTTAAACAAGCTTAAAAGCGATAAGGGATTTCTATAAAAGCTATCCGGGCTGGATTTAGACCATACAGATTTCTACAGATTCGTTGCTATAGCAGATCCCCTCCGCAGAGATCGTGATTCTCTCTCAGACGAAATAAAAACTCAAGACAGAGCCCCGTCGAACAACGCACTGAGGCCGGTCAAAACTACGCCTCGCCTTGTACATACACAGTTTCACGCACACACATATAACGAAACTACGCCTTACCTTGTCATTCGAGCTATTCCAGCGCACGGAGTGTCACGCTATAATAATTCGCAGTTTTTAAAGAAAAAATGCCTAATTGTGTTGTAAAAGGGTGTAAAAACCAATCTTCCAGAAATAAAAAAACAGGATGGAATCACATTTCATGCGTAATTAAACATAAAAATCTAATTTTTTAATAAATCATTTTTATTATTCATTACGACAGCTTGGAACATAAAACCTCCACAAGTGTTGCCACTAGTAAGCGTCACAGTAGTCCCCATTTATTCAGTAAGTTATTAATGTGACGGGAAACTTAACGTAACACGTTAATTTAGCCTTTTCTATTTTACTTTTAATATTCATAAAATTAATGTAAGTGTAAATAGGCATTATTTTTTATTTTCGACGTTTTAACATCACTTCAAAAATCTATATTTTTAAGGTTTCCCATCCGAAATAAAGACATTAAAGGGAAGTGGATACAAGTGATTCGAGTTAGCCGGAATGAGCCATCGTAAAATCCAACGGTGCGCAGCGTAGTTAGTTCGACAGATTTTGAAGATGACGATTTTTATTATACAAATAAATGACTTCGTTGTGTGATACGAAACGGATATCAAAAGGTTATTTCCAATGTTTCTATAATACTATATTTAGTATTATACAATAATAAATTAAAAAATGTCGTTTATGATATTATATGAGATATTTGACTTCCATAAACTGATCTTCAAAAGATAAAGGTGGTTTAAATTTCCATCGAAAGACCTTTTTGAAATTTACATTATTTGTGAAACTATTATGCGTAAATTATGTAGTGAAAGTATAGTGATAGTTACTGAAAACCAACACAAATCAGTTGTTATTAATATTTTAAAACAATTTATTGATACTGACAACGTTTTCTCTAAATTACAGACTGAGCACAATTATGCTGGCCAAGAGCATAAAATAAGCTTAATAAAGATGCATAATTGAAAAATATTTATCAATTCGTTTCTACCATATTTCTAAATTGGAAACAATTTTCAAAACAGTGGACGGTAAACGGCAATATTTCAAAATATTGACCCAACAAAAAGGCTATTAAAATAAAAACAATGTTTCTTTCATATTACTATTGTTTTATTTTTTCCCCTACTTAGTCGAAATAAACATACTTACATACTACTTAAAGTGAGGTATAAAATTAAAAAATTGTCAATTTATCTTTTTACTTATCCATTAATCCTGAGTACTTAGAGAATAATATATTAGGGTAATAAGTTTTTACTGCACGGCAACACTCATTTAGTGCACACATGTTTACCAAACCGACCTCACTTTATTGTTGACAGCGCTCTGTCTTGAGTTTTTATTTCGTCTGAGGATTCTCTGCGATTTTAACGCCCATCATGCCGAATGGCTTGGTTAACGTTTAACCGACTATGCGGAGAGAACTGTTCATGATTTTGCATTGGCATATGGTCTGACACAACTGGTTACTTCGCCTACGTGGATTTCAGATGTGGCGGATCATGCACCTTCCCTGTTGGACCTTCTGCTGACCTCTCATCCGGATAGATATCGGATTTCCGCCGACGCTCCTTTAGGCTCTTCGGACCATTGTGTTATCCGGAGTGTGGTGCCACTCACGCTGAAGTTGCGGTTGCATTCTGCAGGCTGCCGCCGCATTTGACACTATAGGTTAGCCAATTGCTTTGCATTCTACCCTTGGGGGCGGGTTTGCTTCTCGCCGGACGATCCCAACGTTGTTGCCGATTCTGTCGCTGATATGGTGCTTCAGGGTATGGAACTTTTTATTCCTTCCTCTGTGGTGCCCATCGGAGGCAAATCTCAGCCATGGTTTGGTCGCTCCTGTAAAATAGCATCATGCTATAAGCTACCGAGCCTGGGCTGACGCATCAACGTCCCGGTATGTAAATACTAGCGCTCTAAAAATGAAGGATAGTTCCGCCTCCAGGTCCTTCAAAAGAGTCATTGCCAAGACAAAGTCAGAACACATAAGCAGAATTGGCGAGAAACTAGTTCGCCTTCCTTCTGGAACCCGTGAAATTCCCTTGGACAGCCTTGACGAGAGACCGGAATGTCTCTCGCCAAGGCTGTCCAGGGGAATTTCTGTCAGCCATCTCTTCCATCTCTGCACAGGGAGGTTGACTCACTGCCCATGCCACATAGATGAAAGCCGATCTGCTAGGCTCTTTCTTTGCGTCCAATTCGATTCTCGATGACGGGGGGAGTACACCGCCGACCATACCACGGTTTGAGTGTGCGATATCTTGGATTTGAATAAAGATGTCTTCCTCGTAACGGCTTTAATGGCGGACTGAGTGGTGACGTTACTAAGGGTCGCAAACCGGGATCCCGAATCTCGAAAATACCGGGATACCGGACTGAAACGAAAGCTTTTTAAATACCGGAATTGAGTGAACGGAAACCGGTATTTACGACTTTTCGGTATTTCATTATAAATCTATGGCAACGCGGATCGACTATGCAACGCAAGTCGCGCGACTAAACTCTGGAGTGAGTGAGAGTACTTACTGCCGAGTCCTGAGGCGACGACAAATCCGGCCGCTCGCCTATACAACTATTGACGGTGCTAGTATAATGATCGCATTTGGAAGAGAAACAGTATACAGTTAGCGATATTAGACGTGCTCTATAAAAAAGAAAACAGTTCCCAAACTCAACTAAGAGAACTAGTGTTGCCCAAATGCAGGAACAAGACGAGACTTAGCCAGTCTTGGTCTTGGTCTTGCGCCAATATACCTGGTCTTGTTCTTGGTCTTGGTATTGCGCTCTCAGTCTAGTTCTTGGTCTTGGTCTTGCAGCAAGAGTTTCGCAAGTCTCGCAATTACCTATTAGACTATTGTTATTTATTAAACGATACTTTAGATCTTAGAACAACTTAACAGAGTAGGCACATTTTGAGCTTGAATTAACATAGCCATAGAAAGACCAACCAAATTAATAAATGTCTAAACATTTAATGAGAAATTCGAAAAATCAACTAATACCGGGTGGGGTTTGAACCCACGACCTAGGCGATCCGTGCGGATGCTCTAACCAACTGAGCTGTCTACCAAGTCTCACGGCCACGGGAGTTAGTCTGTTTCTTAATAAACGTTTACATTTAATAAGCTTACATGTGCTAAAACTTAGTCAAAACATATAAAAAACAAATTAATGACATTAACTTGACTGTATTATAAAGAACATTATCTGTCTAGAAAGAGATTGATAGACCCTTATATGAAATGGAATAAAGGAGTTAACAATTTACCATTTATTTAAATAAAAAAAATAAAATACAATACAAATTAAATTACATAACAGTACACAACAGCTTTGACATTACTGTTACTTTATATTAATTCTTTTGACCAAGAATTAATACAAAGTAACCATCTGGCTGACTCATCACTTAACCTATTTCTATGTTTTCTAATTACTAATGATGCTTTAGAAAATAATCTTTCAGCAGAAACTGAAGTTGCAGCTATTGAAAGAAAATCACGGGCCATCTTCGATAAAGTCCGATATTCTGTCTCATGCGTCCTCCACCACTCTAAAATGTCTTCCGAACTGGCGGCTCTGGGTTTACTTAGGTACTCCTCCAACTCGTCTATAACTAAGCCTTGATGAAAAGATT